CAACAGTGGTTGGCCTGGGGCTCTAAGCACTGTGGCTGACAACACCTGGCTAGAACAAACACCACCATCACATGCCTCCTGGTATCCCTCTGCTTAATTATCCCAGCTTCAAGCCTACAGGGGAGAAAGTGAAACTGTGCTCGCTTGTTTTTCTGTAGGTGTTATCTCTTTGTAGCATGTCAGCGAGTRGGTCTAATGAGAAATTAACATACCTTAAGTTTCTGACCACAGCTAGTGTTTAGTCTTGCATATCTGAAAGCTCTGCTGCTCCTGCCACTGCAATTACAGGCTCTGAGGATTCAGGGCAATAACAAAGCTTGAATCCTCTGCGGCAATGAATTTGTGGAGGCTTGGGTTCTGCAGCTGACCACCACCTGCACACAAAGCATCTCCAAGACCAAGGGGTTTGTCCCACTTTTGTTTGAACTTTCATTCATCATTTAACTCCCATGACAAAGGCACCAAGAGCAGCTTCTTGACTGTACCAGGTTGGTCACAACCAGCTGCTGGGGTAATCAAACATTCTCCCTCCCTGCATCTCCAGCTCTCCCCTGTGAACTGGTTTCCTAAGGAGAGAGTTTTTAATGCAGTTTCCTGCAAAAACATCCTTTACCAGCTAAAATATATAAGTGATTTTAAATATAATTCAGTATAAACAGCACTGAGCTTACATGTTTTCCTGGGGTGTTTCTACCCCCCCCCCTCACCTCACAAACACACTGAGCTTAGAGGGAAGAACAGCCTGATGACAACAAGGGGAAACAGGCCAGTGCAAAGGTATTTTTATACATCAGCACAAATAAAAAGACAGCAGAAAAGGGGAAAAATTAAATGYAATTCTTCAAAATGCTTGCAGTGCCACTAACCCAAAATGTGAGTTGTAACACAAACAAAGGAATTTGGATCCCGTTCTCCCATTTAAAATAAGCAGTCTTTTGAGGTATGATACATTCAGCAAACAACACATATTCAAATTATTCTCTTTTTTCTGGTTTGGTTTTTTTTTTTTAACCTACAAATGCTCTTTATCTGAATGCTGCCTAATTTGCAAATGAGTAAAATCCTCTTGAAAAGGTGAGGCTATACAATAGAATGCAGTTCAAATTGAGAATGTCTGTGATTCAAAGARCTGCAATGCTGGGACACTGTAGTGGCTCTCAGCAAAATCTCCTGGCTTCCAAAACCCATGGAGGCCATTTATCCCAGCAGAAAAAGACCTGCAGCTCCCACTGGCTTCAGCCTGACTAGTAGATCAATACAATAATAAACTGGCACTATTGCTTCTGACAAACTCACGGGAGTTTTGTCAACAGCTCCACATGAAAAGATTCAGTTCTTCTAGCACAAAATGACCATGAGCCAGCAGTGGCCATATCTGGGACCACATCTCACAGGAATAAAATACATTTCTATTTCCACCAAAGCTGTACTGTTTTTTAAGATGTATATTTGGTGGTGTTGCTGCAAACAAAGGGGAARGGACAAGCTTACATTTTATATCTAAAAACAAATGCAGCAACATTAACCCTGCAAAACAAAAGGCCACTACTTCCATTATTTTAAATCATGAACTCGTGCAAAAGTCKAAGAGTAAACCAACATTTTGCATGAGTTTTTCCAAATAAGGCAAAAAGCACAACTACTTATTTCTGACAATTAAGCAGCTTACAGAGTCTTTGTTCTACTGACACTTGAAAATGCAGTTTTCAATTATTTATGCTGTAGTTCARTACCTAAAACAGGAAATAAAAGTATAAAGTCTGTGTTCTGCAGCACATGCACCCCTTCCTGAAGGGCTCAATTCATTTATAAGTGTTYGGAGCTGCCACAGGCCTGGATTCTGCCATATCCTGTAATGCCCTATCATCCCTCAGCACTCTGATCAGCCAATGATTTTACACTGAACTTGTCACATATACACATCATCAGAGGATATTTCCCCCCCAAGAGGTGCTGACTTGGTTTATGAACAGTTGGGAAATCAGAAGGTTGTCCATACCCAAGGCATTGCCATGCCAGCAGCTGGAATGAGTTGAGAAGTTGCCAYATGAGCACAATTTGGTCAAGGGTTCAACAGCTTCATCTAACTCACTGAGGAGGGTTTAATTTAAGCTTCTGAGCCCTCTCTGAAGCTGCTGGACCATCAGCTCTGTTGTAAGGACAGACATTTTAAGCAGTGCAACTTAATGCTAAGATTTTAAACTGCTCCAATCCTTTGCAAAGTGAGCACACATCAGTCTACATGTCTCAGGTGCTTTTGGAAATGTTACCCAGATTCAAATTGAGATGCGTAACTAGGTCTAGAGGCAACATTCACACAGAAATTAAACTGGTATCAAGCAAAATGGTGAAGGATAAAATGCTATGCTTAAAAAAAATTTCAAAAATCACACTCTAAAATCCTTCTGATTTTGTAAAATGGGTATAAAAATGGCCAGAAATTACAAAACCAAATATAGATGGGGCAGATCCAGTCCAAGCATAGTCTTTTCTGTCCCTCCTGTTTTATTTCTCAAATAGTCTGTCTGAAGCAGGCTTTTAGATAAATACATTTAGATACTACAGTGGCTGTCTGAACAGAGATAATGAGAGCTCCCTCCACACACTGCTTCCCCCAAATGTTTTAATGCCGTTYTGGAAGAGCCTTCTRTAAGGGAGGGKCTGTAGATCAAGTTTCTCTCCAGTKAGTGACCTAATCAATACAAGCAGGACTAGGACTTAATGCAGAACTTCCAGGAGATTGCAATAATCACCCACAATTACTTATGAAAGCCAATCAATAGCCAGGAGGCTTTATGTGTCATTTATATACCTTAAATCAAGCTTCTGAAATTAAACTTTGATTCCCAACACAATTAGATGTGGTGCTAAGCAAGACAAGGCACCAAGCAAGTGCTGCCTCAGGAGGGAACACTGCGAGGGAATCCAGGGATGGAGCCAGGAGAGCACCAGAGACCTGAAACACACACCAAGGGGAGCTGCAACAACAGAGTTGGCAGAGTGGATACAGGAAGGGGTATAAAATCAGTGAAATAAGGCCCTGCACCTTTTTTCCCCCCTTGTTCCTTCAATGACTGACACAAGCTACCTTCCAGTGACCAAATGAAAGACAAAGACAGTAGAAGGCTCTCAGTGGTGGGAATTAAAGCAAAGAGAAAGAGGAAGAAAYGCTATTTTGTGTTTTCACCCTTGTTTCTCACTATGGGAAAGTTGGCAGAAACTGGAGGTTTCTGTCAGATTTATCACAGAAAATACATTATGATGGGTGATTAGCAGACTCGGGCTTCCTATCAAAATGTCCCACCTCCCTTTGTAGCTCTATTCTGGTGATGACCATTATGCATTTACTACTATTTTTTTTAATATCTGCATACCRTAGTTGAATAACTTTGCAGGCAGTGAGATCACAGCTGAAAAAAGATGGGAAACACGCACATGAGGCTACTCATTGTGCTATTTTTACTGTTCTGAAGTCTATGGCATTGAACAATGACTCATAAGAGTAGCAAGCCAGAGAAGCACTTGCAAAGCATATCCAAGCATGTTTATTTATGTATTTGTTTGCACTGATTCATCAAGTTCCTCTGTGCAACCAATGGGACTCCAGAGGAAGCACAGAGCAGAAATTCTGTGTACAAAGCTGTTCCACCCACCCTGCTCCYGTGAGATGGGGGAGGTTGCAAGGGGGATTTGGGAATACACCTCCTTTATCCACTTCTGAAAAGGAGAGCCTCTAAACACCAATGGAGCACACTCCCTCTGATGGGAATTCCCTCCTTTAACTCATTCTTGCTTTGTCAGCATCCACAACAGGGTACAARGAGCAATCAAAACAAGCAAATCTTCTTGCTTGTTTGAAGTCCTGCATTGAAAGTGTTGCCTTTTTTCCTCCCCTGTAGTCCTGAGATGAGCTTAATTTATGGTGGGTCTATGTAATTATTTTGGAGAGGTTTGGCACAGGTCAGTACAAAAGCAAATTATGTTTCCCATGTGATGCAGTGGTGTTATGCACCCAGAATGCTATTAGAATAAGTTTGAATARTAATAAAGAATAATAATAATCTGCTTCCCCTGTGAAATTCTTTTTATGACATTAAAAGAGAATTTGCCTGCCCAGGGCGAGCCACCGTTTTCTTGGAGCAGGAGGTGAAGATGGGGTTGGTTTTCTCTGCTTACACTGTTTATTTTTGCATAGGGTATGGCTGATGTCAGCACTGAGAGATTAGATGATAGCTCTGTGATTCATATTTAAGAGTGAATAATGCTGAAAGGATTTGGGGAATACCCAGAAATATGGATTAGAGGAAACTGCACAAAAGGCACTGGGATCAGGCTCAGAAAGAACAGGGACAGCTGACATCTAAATCTGAATCTACCTACTGATATCTAAAGGAACAGGCAAAATGAAAGAGGTGTTTGAAAAACTTGGTTTCGCAMGAGAAAACTGGGCAATGAGGGGAGAGAGGAATGCAAGAAATAATTAGACACGTACAGAGTACAGATTATGTCACTTCTTCCCAAAACTRGCAGCTCTGCTTAAACACTGCAGATTTCCTTTCACACATTTGTGAGCATTGAAAAGCGTGTGGAGTACAAAAGTCTGGCACCATAGGCAGCAGGGAAAAACWGTACAATTGCAATTAAAAATCCCTATATTTCCATTAATTTTACGGTAAAGTTAGGTGTGACATATGGAGACTAGTCTCCAGAAAGAGAAGCTATCCAATATATAATAATTATACATTGTAATACTCTCTACTGCTAATTTATTCCATCTTCTTTGCCTTGACTCTTGTTAAGTCCCTCACACAAAACTATATAAGGCAAATAGTTTCCTTTTTTTCCAAACTTCCTACCTTACCACACTGTTCCTAAGACACCAAGTTATCTCTAAAACATGTACAATATTGAAATCATGTCAGATTCTGTTACTGTCCCACAGCCAATGTTTTAATACCGTGCTGTTAGTTCTATATTTGATAGTAAAGTGGTAGCAGTACCTCTTCTGCAAAGTTAGTTTTCTTGTCAAGCATTTCTCGTAAYGTCTGAAGAATTTTAATGCAGAGCTTTTCTTCTTTCTCCATTAGCTTCTTTGTGTGATTAATCAACCTTAAAGTAAAATATGAAAACTTAAAGAGCATTGCACATTGTTGCTAAGCCATACTACAGTTTCTTTATCCATAAATTGCCCATCACTATATTTTTCCTCAAGGAAAGGAAATAAAAGTGGGCAAGAGAAATCATAATTAAAAGGGAAATGGGACTTTCAAGGTGTTGGGAGATTTTTGTGTCAATTTGCATATCTTACTGCCTGTACAGAAGGCAGAATTCTACATCCACTTTTTATGAGGGTTTCCAGTGAAGATCCAGACTTGCTATTTCATCCTTTCTTTTTTTAAAGGTAACTTATTTTAACCATTATTTAAAGGTAACTGGTGTTCACCATTCATCTTGCAAATTTTAAAAGCTACAACCTTTACACCTCCCCGCTTCTGTGATGGTTATAATGTATTTATGATACAATTAGCAAATGGTATTCAGCCAAAAGGWTTTCCAAAAAACCTTACATGGAAGTGTTCAGAAATACAGACATTTGGCTGAAAYGTAATCGTTGTTTACATTCACACAACAACTTGACAAGACAGAAAACAAGGTACATTTCTGTCTCCAGCTATGACTGTGACAGGAGTTTGGATTTCAGTCAGCTGAAGCCGACACCAGAAGCAGCCTTTCTCTCTTTGTGCAGAACAGATCTGTGCACAGGTCCTTGCACTGGTTCACACATTGCTGGARAAATGTTTGTGAAAATAGAAAGGGAGGAAATGTAGGGGCCTTGGACAGGTTTTTTGTCCTTCAGTACCAGTGCTGGCTTATGTTGGATAAAAAAGAATTCATCAAATTATAGTTTGGGATCAGCATGCAACACATGCACAGTGCCATCGATTTACACTGAAAGATGGCAGYATTAATGGTCCCAAATCACAGCCACCAGAACCAAGGCTGGGAGACCTATTATTGTGTCATCCCAGCAGAATCCCAACTGAATCCCAACAGAACTGATCACATCCTGATCACTGCTAAATTGGAATCACAGAACCATTTTGGTTGGAAAAGACTTCTCAGACATCGAGCCCAACCTTTAATTTATCAGCCAAGGCCACCACTAAACCATTTCCCTAAATGCCACATGTCCTTTAAATGACTCCAGGGATTGCTAATGCCATCCTGGACTCAGTGGGGACATTGTCCCACTGTCATCTCCACTGATTTAATGAGCTTTGAGAACAAAACCAAGCAGTTCTCAGGCCTGCAGGACTAACAACATTTTAAAAGAAGTACATCTTTATCTAGGGATTTCTACATTATCTAGGGACTACTTTGCCATGGGAAGTAATTGATTAAAATTGGACATCAGGTGGAATTTCTTCCTGGGRAGGGTTGTTAAACATTRGAATGGGTTGYCCAGGGAGGAGATGGAGTCACCATCCCTGGAAGTGTTGATGAAATGACTGGACATGGCACTCAGTGCTCTGGGCTGGTTGATAAAGTGGAAATCAATCACAGGTTGGACTTAATCTTAGAGGCATTTCCAACCTAAATGATTCTGTGATTCTGTGARAACAGAAAACTTYATTGCATTTTCATGCTGGCTTCGAACAGGAGTTTGGACAGAGGACATGGGATRAGCCAATCACAAAATTAAACTTTAAAAACAAAATTTCCAAACATATAAAGTATATTGTTATAATACTACCTCTGCAGAATATGCAAATAGCCAAGGAATCAGGAGAGCTGCCAAATACATTAATTTCCCCCAAGTTATCTCTGTTTAAATTATAGTTTCTCAAGGGCGGGGAGGGCATCTCACTTGAGGACTAATAAAAAATTTGCAAGACTCTATTCCAATGCACAGACTGCAAATAAAACATCTAATAATTCAAGACCAGATAGGGGTGCCAGTGAAATGTATTTTTAAAGAGCTGTTGGCAATTTAAAATAAAAATATCTATTTGCTGTACCAAAAAAAAAAAAAAAATCCAACAAAAAACCCACAAGCCTTGAGCACCCCACTGTTTCATTATGAATTCTTGAAAATTCTGCTATGGAAAGTCTAAGTTTCTGCTGTTGATTTGGAAAATGTAATAGCAAAACAAGCCTATTAAGAAAACAGAAGTAGGTTGAGCCTGCCACAATTTTAACAAGCCACTAACAACCCATTTCTAGCAGGTAAGGCAAGCAATCTCTCCCCTTGCTTTCCCCAGACAACAAAACTGCTGAGAAACACAAAACATGGAGAAAAAGACCTCACTTTAAGCTTTCAATAGTGAACTCAGACACCAGAATGCTTAAATCTCTGCTGAAAAGCACAGGTAAGTGCTGTTGAAAATGTTAAAACCCTGCCATCYTTCCCAAGAAACAAATAGGCCCCTCTGGATGCCACTTACTTGGACATGAAAGCACCACATCTTATTCTGGCATCACTGCCCTCAGGAAAAAGGAGCTCTGGGCTGTGCAGCACATCAACCAGCACTGAGAATTCAGCTTGCATCATGGGGGTGAACTGCTGCTCCAAGGAGGACACCACGTCCTAGGGAAGACAGGAGAACAACATCCAAAAGTGCAAGAGAACTACAACAACATCACTGTGGAATCGCACAGCTCAGGGTGATGCACTGCTTGGCATACTCTGATGGTGCAAGAGAACTGGGCAAGCCAGGTGACAGTAAAGCCACCTCAAGCCTCTCTTCACACCACTCCTCAAGCTGGGCAGGGGGAGAAGGTGCCCCTTGCTGTTCTCTTTCAAATTTCTCCTCTGAAGTGCTGCTCCCAAAACCAATGGCAACAGGCAGGATGATGGTGTGCTAGGAAAACAATGCTGATCACACACAGTTAGTGCGTCACCTCAGGTGTTGTGTCCTTGGTGTTTAGGGCCCCTCTGTTTGTCTGGGTCCTGCTGTTTTCTCAGCTGATGAACCCCTGATKCTGTTTAAGCTCTACATGCACAAGGTGATCTCCATCTCATGGAAATCTCCGTGACACAACCTGACAWAGTGGCTCCTAAAACCTCCAGTACCTTCTCTGCAGCCACAACAGGTGTGTGGCCATGGAGAGGCAGAAAGAGATCCTGCTCTTTGGAGCACTTTGAAGAGAACACAGCTTGAATAYTGTGTGCAGTTTTGGGAACCAGAATATAAGAAAGAGCTAAAGCTGTTAAGAGAGCATCCAAAGGCAGGACATGGAGATGGGGAACGGTCTGGAGGTGAAGCCCCACAAGGAGTGGCTGAGGGCACTTGGTCTGTTCAGCTGGAGGAGACTGAGGGCAGAGCTCCCAGCAGTTCTGCAGCTCCCTCACGAGGGGAAGAGGAGGGGCAGGCCCTGATCTCTGCTCTGTGGTGACCAGGGACAGGATGCAGGGAACAGATGGGGCTGTGCCAGGGTAGGGTTAGGGTGGATATCAGGGAACAGTTCTTACTCCAGAGGGTGGTGGGGCACTGAACAGGCTCCCCAGGAAATGATCAGGGCCCCAAGGCTGCCAGAGCTCCAGGAGTGTTTGGACATTGCTCTCAGGCACAGGTGGGATTGCTGGGGTGTCTGTGCAGGGCCAGGAGTTGGACTCGATGATCCTTGTGGGACCCTTCCAGCTCAGCTCATTCTGGGACACCTCCGACCCCTGACCTCTGTAGGACCCAAATGCCCGTCCTGGATCAACAGGCCCTGCTCTAACCAGGCACAGAGAGGAGCTGAACCTTCAGCTGTTCCCACACAGAAATGCAATGGCTCCTCTAATCCAGCACCACAAATGCTCTGTGCCTGTCTCTGGTGTTTTCCACATCTGGCACATGTGACACAACTGCCCTCCCCCTGCTGCCCAAGCCCTTTGCTATGTCTGTACCTGTAGTTTCTCTATGATATTCCTGTAATCCCAGGCAGGCCCACCAAGAGCTTCTTTGAAGCGAGGTCCACTGCGGGCTGACATYCTCCAGCCCATGGCTGCCCTCTGCACCATGTTGGAGTGACTCTTCATGAACAAGGTGTTGACCTGGCTGTCCAAATCCACTGGAATCGCAATCCCCCGGTTCTTTGCTTTAATAGGAATAAAAAACCCAAGACATTTACAGTGACAAAAACTTGATGAGGATCATGGCATGCAAAAGATTGATCCTGTTGAAGTAAAGGGGCAGGGTGATACCACTTCAGTAAGTTTTAAAAATAAGGATCCTAAAAATAAGGACCCTTAAATGTAAGGATTCCATATAATTCTAAGTGGTAGAAATCAGCCATAATCTAGTTAAAGAAAGGAAGCTGTACTACTTTAAATGAGATGAGGACTGTTTCCAGTAYATTTTTGCATAGACACAGACATTTATTTTTTAAAACAGAGTAATTGTTTTACTAACTTGAAAAAATCCAGATATATTAATAAATGCAACAAAAGGAGTATGTRTTATTATTTAAACAGTTAGTTTTACTGTCTTCAGAAGCAAATTCTAGAATTCTTCTTTCTAGTGGGCATATGCACATTTATCCAATTTATCCCAAGTACTCTTGGTTGCTTTTCTGTGAATTTCTCTTGTGAAGACCTTGAGGAACCAAGTGCATACAAATTCAATTTGAAAAAGACTGTCTCTTCTCTCTGTGTTTCCTATACTGCTAGGGTTGCTAGACCCTGGATTCCTGGATGGTTCCTGGATGCCACTGCAATATATCCAGTAGTTAATAAATATCTGATAGTCTAAATGATAGYTAAAAAGAAATTAACCAGTACCTAGAAAAYRCTATTTTTTTTTATTTTTKAGAYTTAACAGGCATGAAATGACATGTAGAACGAATACCAGAATTTAAAAATAAAAAAGGAAAGACTTGCAGGAATTCTTACAGGGACTCCACTATTAAACTGCTATGGCATCCTGAACTGTTGTTTGAAAAGGAAGTTTGGAAGGCAATGTTAGAAGGTATCTGCCCTCTCCCTCAGTAAAATCTCTGTCTTAGTTGCTTCTCTCCATTCCACTGGAGATCAGAGTGCATTGTTTTCTGACTCAGAATGAGTTGTTTGAAATTTAACCAATAAAAAAGAGTTTGTCGCATCTCTGTAAGTGTCCAAGTGAAGGGGCTTGGGTTGGGATAGTGCAAGGTGTTCCTGTGCCTGTCACTGGGGCTGGAACTGGATGGTCTTTAAGGTCCCTTCCAACCCAGGCCATTCTGTAATTCTATGATCAATGCAGCAGTATCTCTGAAAGATTAGGTCCTGTTCCAGTGATTAAACTCTGTATTCTACGTCATTTCACTTCCATGGCACARCTTATGTTTAATAAAAACTTAGAAGTGAAATGGAGAAGCAGTTTTAATTCATTTGTAATAATGACTAATAAGTCATTTTTCAGTTTTCCTTATTGAAACAAGGTGAATTTTGAAAAACCATTAGCCCAAATTGCAGTTCTGCACGAAGTTTCTCTGTGGCATTTCCCCACCATTCCACACTAAAGGGCYTTCCACAGTGGGGGAAGGCATCAAAAATATTCCACCCTTCCCTCCCTCCCTCCTAGATCTTAAAACATACAAAACTTTAAGTCTTGAAGCTGTGAAGTCAGCAGATGCCCTTCTTTCCCAAACAGCCCATGCAGCCAACCCCACGGGAGGACGTGCAGGCAGAGGCAGCGCACAGCTCTGATGAATGAAGGCTGCAGTGCTGCCAAGCACAGTGAGTCACAGATCCCAGGCACAAACTTTCTCTTCCCCTCAGTACTAGATYGGAATGACAGCTTTTAGTATAAACCTAAATCTGCCTGTGACACCTCAACCCCCAGCCTTAGCGACTGTGGCAAGGGTGCCGTGTCAGGGGCACTCTCATCCCTCTAATGGATTCTGCAGGTTCAGGGCACTCTCCTCTCTTCCCACTGCAAGGCTGTATCCTGATGCAGGATGGGGGGCTTCCCCTGTGGACCAGGCTGTTCCACTGGGATGGAGGAGAGCTCTGTAATTCCATTCCTGGTAGCATTTCTTTTAAATGGTTGGCCGCAGGGAATGTATAAAAAAAAATTTTAGGTCAAGCTGGGAAGACACAAATTGAGTTTTCCTTTCCACTCTCCATTTGTTTTGAAGGCAGGCTCCTGATTAACGTGTGGAAAATGCCATGTATGGCTGGCCATTATTTCTAATGATTGTTTTTCCATATAATTTGACTGGGCTATTTTTCAAAACACATTTGCCCTGTTGCTGCTTATTTTACTAGAGAAGTCCATTAAAGTTCTGCCAGTGTGGGTAGGGTGCTGCAGCCTATTACTCCAATTTATTGTGTCCTAATGTCAATCACTGGAATGTTACTGGACAATGCTTACTTCTCAATTAAGTGGAATGTATGCAGAGTCCTGATATATCGAAGAATAAATTTAGCAATGGGGAGCACACTGCTCAGAGGAAAACCTAGACTTCTGCAGTCCTATAGATGCCATTTGAAGTTAACAACTTCCATCAGTGTCTGAGGAGCAGTCAAGGACTATGATTGTTCAAAGAGTTGCAGCTAATTAAAACTATCACAAAGAAAACCAGAGAGAGAAAAAAATATTCCTTTGTTATGAGCAGTTCTTACATGTATAATTCCATTTGTAATTAAGATTTGTATTGGTTGTCAAAGGGCACTGTTGAAGTCTAAGCTATAAACAAAGCCTTTGTCTTCTTATTTCTTTGCAGCTTGTAGAAAGTTTATCTTTCATTTGTTTCACATTTCATTATTTAAAACAACATGAAACATATTTTTACATTTTGGAAAGCTGATGAACAAATGTGAACATAAATATTTATTTTTAATTTAGGTGTTGTAGGCTGCTTTCCTCTTCAAAATGTGTCAATCTCCCTTAAAGTATCAACATCAAATATTTAAAAGCATGTTTATTTTTGTTCCACTTAGAAATACTTTTGGACAGCACTCAAACTTGCAAAGTACAGTTAGAGCTGGTAGACAAAGGAGCCAAGAGGGGGTAAAATTCTGTCTTTTATCTGACTGGTGAAGTTGGAAAAAGCTACCTGGCTATCTGCACGTAAATATCCAGCAGGATATTTACCAGGATGGACTCAATGATCYTTTGGGTCCCTTCCAAGTCAGAATATTGTGTGATTCTGTGATGTCTYCAGCAAAGGTAAATTCTGCCCTGCAGTGGAGGGCACATCTCAGGCTTATAAGTGCCCAATTCTCACYTAGGGCAGCATGCACAGGGCTAATTACACCCTGAATACATGACATCGTTTTGCCAGTGTCAGAGGAGATAGAATTTCGGGGAAATCCTTTGAACTACTAACTCTCAATCTGCTGCTCCCAATTATCTCTCAACAAGAGAGCCAAGATGAGCGAGCAAACAGGACCTGTGGCAATGATAAGAAACGAGGTGCCATGAATTCAGCCAGGTCACAGCAAAATGTTCTGCCCTTTGCTGGATGGTTCTGTGGGTATCCAGTGCATCAGCAGCTTTCCTCCCCCTTACTCCTTAAACAATGAAAAAGTACTCGGAGACTCAAAAGAAAAGGGCKCCATGAATGTCAAGAATAAAGTAGCTAAAAATCAAGGTGCTCTTGAGGAGYGAGCGAGACTCCAGCACAGTCCTAGGAGCACAGTCCCGCTGCTCCCACAGGGTGAAATGGGCCCGGGTGTTATTTTGTTAAATTACCTGCATATAGTTCTCTTCACAGAAGCAATTGGACCTATTTCAGGAATGCCTCCTGAAGCACCATCCTTTCACTGTGCTGCTGCCTGAGGACCAATTTAGTTGTAAGGATTTCCAGGAAGTGGCCYTTGTCTGTAATTTTCCTTGGAAGCCCATTCTTCAGAATAATCTACCTTGCCATGAGGAACTTTGCTATTCTCACTGATTCTGCCTATTGCTCCCTAATTTTAAATTTCACTCCATTAGCTTTTGCAGTATAGACAAAATACAACAGGGTGTAGTGGCTTCACAGCTAATTAACCCTAAACCGTCCCTGGAGTGGATTTTGAGGGGGACACACAGGCATTTCAACAGTAAGAACCCCTCAGGGAGGGGTATAATGGGCAATGTGGGTCAGGAGAAAGCCTCAGCAGTACCTGGCTGTGAATCCTTTCCTCTGCTCACAGTTTACACCCCCTGGTAGTCGCAGACAGATCTATCATGTTCTCCCACGCTTCCCAGTTGTCACGTAACGGAGCGATGCATATTTAGTTCAATTAATTTTGTTCCATAAATCAGTCCCTCCAGCTCCTTAATCATTTACTGACTGCTTAACAAATGCATTTGGATGGAGAGACACTAATGCTAGCGACAGCAAGACTTTTTAAGGGAAATAAAAGCTTTGTGTAGACAAGACACAAACCTGCCAATCTTGTACCCTTCACTTGGATGTTTTTTTCCAACAGAAAATCTATGCTAAAATATTTATCAGCCTGTAAAAAGATCATCATTGAATTTTTCTTGCAATTAGGGAAACACAAACAGTTAAAATAGAATAAAATATGTGCTTCATCTGAAATGTATTCTTCTTGCTGTCAAAAAAGTAACAACAGGATAATTATTTTATTTGAACTAAAAATTGAAAATGAAGGTCTAGCTTTTTATAAAATGGAAAAAAAGATTTTAAAATTCAAATGGGAAGTGAAGTAAACGTATTTTCAGGACTGAAAAAAATTGTTAYATGAAAATTCATCTATATGGACATTAAAATACTCATAATAATTCCAAAGAAGCAATAAAATGTGACCTAGATTTTATGTTCAATGTTTTCTATTTGTCATTTGTGAGGGAAAAGTAAAGGGCTTTAGAGGGCATAAAGATGGYCAAGAAGAGCCACGGGAGAGGTTTTTTTGGATTCCATACAAGAAKGTATTGGTGACTTTAAATTAGAGAATAAATACTCAAGTAGAAAGGACTTCACTACACCTTCAGACCATATGCTCTTGGTTTCAGACAACCCATGTTCTTTAATATCTTTGGAAAAATTTATTGAGCCCCATTTAAAATGAAGGCAGCTTATCTGCCACCCCTCCTCCCTCCACTTTCTCTCAGCCCATYGACCAAGGACATCCTTCCAAAGTTGGTTCCAATCCTCTGATTTACAATCTAAATTTATTTAGGTTATTTACAACCTAGTGTAATTTATGTCCAGTTGGTTTTGGGTCAGCACTGTCCTTCAGCTTAAATGTCTCTGTGACTATCTATCTTCTTAAGTACTTTTAAAGAGCAACAACACAGGTCTGTGTTTTGCTAGGCAAAACACATGGGGGTTCTGAATTCCCCTCCTGGAACACAGTTCTCCTTTCCCCTGACCACCACAGCAGTGCTTCCTCTGTACCTGTTCCAGTTTTCAACTTAGGAAATGGCAATCTTACAGGGCTCACCTCAAATTTTGTAGGATGGAAACAAGAATTCTCCTTTTGCTTCTCCTGCACAAGATCCTAATCTGATATGACTAATGCAATTTGGCTTGCTAACAAGTTTTTGTTTTTTTTTTTTTAAAGGGTCTGCCAAGAGACATAGTCTAACAAAATGCAGGTTTTTATCTGGCACAGTTTACTCGTCTGGGAAATTCCAATTATTTCATTATTGGTGGTCACAGCACAGGCACACACAGACTACATTCTTGGGATATACACAGTGTCAAAGGGAAGGTTCAATTTTTAAAAACACGAGGGAGAAAACTAATGGATACTACAGAGACCAGAGTGTGAGACAAGCACCTTTGCCCTTGTACCAGAAAACTGATRCTCAGAGATGAATATACAAGAAGCTATGCTTAATTAAGAAGCAAAGACAGTTCTTTGCATGGGTCCTGAAGGATTGGTCAGCCCTGGGAGAATGACCCRGCTCCAATGCCATGTAGGATATGCAATTTAAGATATACAACCTTTAGTTGTGAGGATAGGAGGTATTCTCCAGTCTTTACGGAAGGACAGTATGTGGTTTGAAATGCAAACTTTGAGACTGGCCTCCACCATTCTCAACCTTGCAAAGATCATAAAGTGCACAGACTGAAACTGCCTTGATAATGAATTMATTCGAAATCAATTTAATGGTTAGATGTCCTAGTTCCTCTCTTTTCACAAAGGGTCTGGGGAACTTTTAAACATTTTTCATTTGTTGCTTTTTTTACCAGGGAGATGGGAGTTGTTTGGATCATACATTTTCTGGTCTGCATTTTCAAGCTAAAGTTCAGTCCTATGTAACAACAGAGAAAAGGCAAAAGTGATGTATGTGTAACGTGTTCATTYTCACTACTGTGATAACCTGCTTCAGAAATCCATATGAACAAGTCACATAAATATATGTATACTATTTCATAAGGCTTTCTATTTATGCCAAGCAGCCAGATGTCTCCCAGGCAATAAAAACCTGGTGCCCATCAGTATCTGTGTGTTCCAAACTTCCTGGAACCACAGAGGGGTCTGCTGAGGAAGAGGAGCAAAGCCTCTAAGCTTCCTGCTGAACTGGAGGCAGGAAACTGCCTGGAGACAAAGCAGCAAGTGAAAAGTTTATGTATTTTCTCCCTGTGGTGTAGTTGAACTACCAGTGTTAAAAAAATATACTCTTCTGTAAAATATCCTTTTGTTGACCTGGGAGGTAATGTACATTCTTAGAGAGCTCATCAGAAGGGAAATGCAATGATCTTAAGCTCTTGAGGCAGTGCTTGCACCCACCTGCCAGCAACAACCAGGAAGAACTGGGCAGAGTGCATGTTGCTTAAACTTGCTCTGAAGTGGGTCTTTTTAAAGCAAATCATCATATGGATCTTTGATATCTTGGGAAATCTGTGTAGGATCTCTCTTCCCCCTGAGATTCATTTGTAAATCCAGGGCAATGACACCACCAACAAAAAAATCATGTTTGTTCCTTCAACTCTACACTACACTTATTTTCTTGTAGCAGTCTTTAGTCCCTGCTGTAAATCTGTCCAATACTCCATCTTTCTGATATAGGCAAAAAAWTTTTAGAGGCTTTTTAAAGCCCTGCTGTGAAACACGAAGGCCCTAACATTAAAGCTGTCAGATTCTCAAGTCAGAAGAGGGAAAAAAAGGTCCACATACACAGCCAGCAAAAGAGGCACTAGGAGGCTGCTATGTTTGTGTCATGGAAGATGTCTCTGGCTTCTCAAAGCCAAGCATCATTTTGGACAGTGGAACACCCGACAGAGAAAGGCACCAGGCATACACTGCAATCACAGAAGGGYTTTGGCTGTAAAAGCCTTTGGTACCCTCAGCTGGGGCATTTTTCCCAAATATTTCCACAGAGAAGAGCAGGCCTACTCAATTGAGCCAGGCAAGACACGTTTGCCACCGTGCCTAAAAACACCAAGTATCACCCACAGTTAAAATCTTCCCTGTCCCGGTAAATTTTGCACAGAGGTGTTTATCAAAAACTCTGCTTCCACTTCTTCTCTGGCTAAMTTGCTCTTTGAGGAAATCCCCCTCACCTCTTTCCTTACTCTCCCTTTCTGCACTGACAAAATAAAACACTAAATAAAAACGTGGCAATTGTCTGACATGACACAATTTTACCGTGTGGCATATCGCTATTAGTGATGAATCCCCAAATGGTTGTYATGATATGGGCAAGGAAATCACCASTGGGGATGCTGGCRTGYGCCTTCAGGGMGCTGCTCTGAGGCTGCCAGCCCATGGCACCCCCAGGGGGTTCTCAGCCTCTCTATTCCTTCTCCTGCTGCAGAGAAGTCCCAGAGGAGGACACGGAGTGATGCCCTTCACCGACAGCTCAGCTCCACTTTGTCACACCTGAGAGTGCCCAAAGCATGGCAGGGGTCCCAGGAGTGGGAAGGCAGAGTAGCAAGAATGAGGTTGGACCCATACGACATCATGAGAGTTTTTTCTAAAAAAAAAAAAAAAAAAAAAAAAAAAAAAAAAAAAAAAAAAAAAAAAAAAAAAAAACAAAAAAAAAACAAAACCTGAACAAAAGAAAGGACTGTAGGGAAGGTAGAAATTAAATTCCACAAATAGGGAACTAAGTCACATATCTGAAGCAAACTCCAGACATCAGCCATTCCTGGATCCCCCAGAAACAAGAGGTACACAGACTMCCCACCAAAGACCACCAATCCTTTCACATGCTGCCACACCTGGCATGARGCTGGATCTGCCATCCCCTTAGGGTGACCTGTGGTTTCCCTGTCAAGCTGCTGTGGGGACAAGTTCAGCTTGGTTGTCCCAACATTACAGAATCATAGAATAATTTAGGTTGGAAAAGACCTTTAAGATAGAGTCCAACCAGTAACCTAACAGTGCCAAGTCCACCACTACACCACGTCTCTAAGTGCCACGTCTGCACAACTTTTAAATATCCCCAGGGGTGATGACTCAACCACTTTCCAGGGCAGCCTGTTCTAGTGCTTGAYAACCCTTTCCATGAAGAACTTTTTCCTAATACCCAACCTAAACCGCCCCTGGTGCAACTTGAGGCCATTTCTTCTTGTCCTAGCACAATGCTCCTTGGGAGAAGAGAATGCCCAATGAGACCCTGGCCTGACTCATCTGGCAATTTGCARAGCCCTGGATCTCTGGAATTTGCTGGGAATTTTTCATGCCAGAATCAGCTGTGTGCTGTAGGCACATAGCCAAAGGGGAAAAAAACCCATGCTGAGATATCTCCAAACACACTCATCTTGTGTGAGGTAACACAATGACCCCTCTGAGCYAGGATTTGATTTTGGTGCAGCTCTACAGAAGTGAAGACATTGAGCTATCTACGAGCACACAGAAGGCATGGTTTGTCTCAAACACACTCTCACCTGCCCTACTTATCCCCCCTTCCCCAGACTCCCAAAGGAAGTAATTTATTGATGACTGTTTCCAGAAATGCCAGAGAAAAGCAAGGACATAAGTGTTAAACACACAAACAAGGATTTGTAGAGATGGAACTTTATGTGAGACTGTAGTAGCTGTAGCATAAARGAAATTAAATATCTTCAACTTCCAAAGTTCTCTTGCCAGATGGATCCATAATTAAATCATTTGCACAACAAATAAAACAATTGAAGGTTGCTAAATTTTTAGGCAACTGCTTATTCACATTCGCACAAAAAGTTAATGAGATGTTTTGGCTAAAATGTAAAATGATACTTTTGTAAAGCTATTCCAAAAATCTAAATTTAGAGTTGATTGTTACACTGCTGCAGATGGCTCAGGGATCCTCTCATATTGTTTTATCATTATTTATTAATATTTTAAAATAAGTGTATCAACAATAGAATTTAGCCAGATTCTACGTATTTCTGCCTCTACTCAGCTTTCATTCACACTGAGCAGAACCTCATTCGACAAACAATCAGCATCACTGACTTTTGGAAACTATATTGAATAATCCTTCATTCTGTCATAGCAGAAGACTAAAAATCATATTTATGGCAATTTAACTTAATTAACTTTTGCCAGTCTTAGCTGTGTTCTGGTGAAGAATAGTTTTTTTTAATGTAGGATAAGAAGTTTTAAAAAACTTGAACAGGGACACCTTTGCTTATGTTGTGATTTAATATTATAACTTGCTTGATATTGAAGAGTTAAAACCATCAAAAGTTTCAAGCATCAAATTAAAATTGATGGTTGAAAGTTCAACCATCACTCGCTTAGCAAGCTCATCCCTCTAACCTACCAGTTTCACCTTAAGAACCCTATATGATGGGGCAGATTTGAATGGGTTATAAAAGAAGGAAGAATTCAACCTCAGAAGCCAGGATTTCTGAAATCACYACTGTCCACCATTTCAGCATGGTAGAGTCAAATTAAAAAATGCTAAACCTCAAGTCAGATCTTTAAACACAAAGAGCAATAATCAAAGTGAAACCTGGCACCTACCCACTTCAGCCAAAGTCTTGATACATGACTCCACCGAGGCTTTCTGCGTTGGGTTTGGCCAGGTACAGTTGTAAATTCTAAAAGCAGACTGCAGCAGCTGAATAAAAACAGGCTGGTGTGTCTGAAAACAAAAACAAATATGGAATTTTATCCTTAAGGATCTCCTCACAGCAGCCCTAGGGTTTGACACAACGTAAACCAAGGGGGTTTTAGCTTGTAGACTCAAGTTATAGCTCCTTTAAATTCTCTTTGATCTTTAGGTCTGGCAGGAGCAGAAATCAATGCTGCACCTCTAAAAAGGCCAAATCATGCCATTTGTCATCAGATTGCCACTGATATAAAAAAAACCACAGTACAGACCAGAAGGACAGAAGAGTCTTCCCCATTTTCAAATATGTCTCCCATCTGTGAACAGAGCATTTCCCTCACACAAATACAAAGATTATTCTGCAAGGATACCCCCTCCAATGAATTCMCAAGAGGCAGAAGTAAATCTGACCCCACTGAGCTGTCAGGTTTAGAGAAGTAAGTGATTAAAATTAAGTGTTTTAAAGAGGAATTAAGCTAGTAATCAGTGATGTAAGAGAGGACAGAGAAATTAAAGGAGGATGAAAAGAGACAGCATTCCTATTCCAGCTGGTAGCAGAAGATATCTCATTAACRATCCAAATAACTTATTTGTCTGTGTCTCTGCTCCTTACCTGGAGGCTGGTGCTGTTATCTGAAAATGGTGAATTGAAGAAGCCACTCACAATGTTCATGACAGGCTCAGTGACATATTTCTCCAGAGATGTGTCTGCATGTTTACGATCCGTGGTTGTGTTACAAACCTGCAGGGAAGAAGGAGGAGGAAACAATGAGATTTAGCTCTTTCCAATAAGCAAGCTTCATTATTTTGTATTTATTATAGTACTTCTGATATTTCTTCTTAATGTAAAAACAAAAGATTTTTACACAAAATCTATCAGTGATAACTATGTTAAGAGTCCAAGCTAGATTTGTGATAGCTTATCTTTCTTCTTGGAGGTCCATGTTGTCTTTTGAATATCCTTCTCTTCTAAACTAGCTCTTTCTGGCTGCCTGCCTGTTCTTTCCCACACCATGAAGGAAAGATCCCCCTAAGTCAGCATACTGCATGCCACTTACACATTTAGACAGATTCAAGAAGAAAATGGACCTTTCCTCCCACTGCRGGGCTGGTTGGAAGATGCTTCAGAGACAGATGAGACACAAACAACTGARGTTAGAAAGATTTCATACAACATTTAGCTTCTCTCAGCAATTAATCACCACAATTGGATGGCAGACATGAAGCTCATTTGCAGGAAAAATGTTTAAAAGGAGGSAAAGAAGGGAAACAGCACGCTCAATACCAACAGCCTTTAGGATGGTAGTGGAAGACTGGCAGCAATTCTTAGGGAAGCCACATGGGGAAAATATAGAAGCCAAGCTAAAACAATGAWAGCAGGGAATGGATGATACCAGGACAACTCTGGAGCACAGAAGGATGATTAAAGGGTGGGAGGAAGTGGGCAGATTTGTACAAAAGGCTCCTAACCACTCCCTTTGGTGCGACACTAAAGGTTTGTGGCTGCRTAAAGATGTCACACTTAAAGAAAGGGAAGAATTACTGGGGTGGATTACATCCTTCAGTATTTTCTTTATTTCTCTTCACCACTTGTGAACATCTCTACAGAGTCACATTAACTTTGCACATGTCAGYGTACACAGTACTGAAAGGAGTCTGSAGAGAGCCAAGAACAGTGAGAAAGCCAAGACTGGACAAATGAGGAGTACAGACTGTAGTCATACTACCTCTCCAACAGCCTTTAATTAAGCTGTTGTAGTCATGTTCARCAAGAAATGAAGGTAGAGTTGTTTTCTCTTTCACCTACACAAGCCAGAGACAACTGCAATGTTCTAGGGAATCTATGGAAAAGCAGAATTTATTTTGTGTACAGACTCCAGGGGCAGCCTTTTCATTGCCATCTGTGCATTTAACACATAATCACAAACCTGAGTGGTGCACACTTACCATTACATCTCTTCAGGGACTGGGAGTCCAGRGGAGCTGAGTGAATTGCTTAAGGGTCACAGAGGAAAATTGGTGACAGAAACAGAGAGATAACCCACACAGCACCTGAATCTCACACAGGGCAAAGATTCTCTCTAATTACACACTGCYACTGTCACCACAAGACAGCAATTTCACCAGGACTGTTTTAAGGAAGTTTACTGACAAGACATCCAAAAGCACCTGTRTTCAGGGTGTGACAGAGCTCAAGGGATCACAGAAGCACCTTGGGTCTARCACACAAGCATTGTCATGTAGTAGGCAGAAGAAAAGCCAAAGAGAAACTGCAGCCTAGACAAATGAGGCATCTTGAGGAGTTTGCTTGTCTGCTTATCTAAAATGTGTCAGGTAAACCACTCATACCTCCACAGAGTGCATTTGTTGTCACCTCAGGAAAGATTTTGGTCAGAAAAGCAAGAGGCTAAAATGAAATAGCAAACTCTTCAGCCCTTCTGTTTTGGGAAAAGTGTGACACCACTACTACCCCCCAGTCCTCAGGAAGATAAATTATTCAGTTAATAATCAAAGCTTGTTTAAAAATTCTTTTTTTTAAAAAAAAAAAAAAGAGATCATAGTTCTAAAAATCTCTGGAAGTTCTTTTGCTTTTAATTAATTGGCATGCCAATTTTGGCTGGAACCAGTAGCTCTGAGCTCAGTACTTGCAATCCCAATAGGAAGACAGAGCTTTGCAGTGCTAGCACAGTGAATTCAGAAATCACCAAAACTAAATTCCAAAACAATTTTAAGCTTTCCCCTTCAGTTGCCTGAAAAGTAGAGCCATATGTGGGGATGCCACTCTGCTCCAACACCAGCCTGAAAAATTCCTAGCACCGAAGGAATTTGGAAATCCTCTCATTTGTTCTTATCCCTCTGCCCTTTGGGGACTGAAAAATCTTCCTCCRTGGAAGAAAAAAGACCTGAAATGCATGAAATGGAGATGAGGATTGAGAAAGCAGTGTTTAAAAACCCCTTAAGAGGCTTTGGGACCAAAACTCACATGAATAATACTTCAAAAATTCTGCAGAGAAAGCCAGGATGACTTTACAGCTGTCAGATCCCAGCTCTTTTCTTTAATCCTGCTCAGACTACAGCTGCTGACTTACACAGGCTGGGCCACACGCAGGAAAGGGAAGCCTTTCCTTCAGCAGCACCCACTTTGCTYAGCACAGCGCTGTAAGTCACACACAGGAGAAAGTAGGTTGGCAGGAACCGTAGGAACGGTTTGAAAGCGCGACGGCTTTTGGCAAACCCACTTTCTGCAGGGATCCGCCTCATGCCTGCTTTGCAATGCATCACCTTGTTGAAAGGAAAATGACAGTTGGGGACTAAATATTTCACTCCTCAAGCCAGAAGAGGATAACAAAAAAATTCAGTTTGTTTTTTTTTTTTTTTTAATATATATCTAAAACAGAAGGAATCCAACCTGAGGATAACACTCTCCGTCTTTCACCTTGGTGCTCTCCAATAACAGACTCAAAGCTCACAAACTCACCCACTGACAGGCATTTGTAGCAGCTAAAAGAAAAGCATTTCCCCTTCCCCCACGCAAAAGCATCCCTTTTAGCTCACTGGAACACAGAGGATCAAAGGGCTCTTTTTCTAAATGCTTTGAAAGCTATTGTAACATCTTTCATGAGGCTGACAGCATTCTAACTGTCCTGATAGCTACAGAAYGCTGATATATTTATAACATGGGCTCTGTCGGGGCTCCAGAACACCAAATCTGCACAAATACTCTCYATAACCTGGAAATTACAGCTATCCATGGCTGGAAAGCAGGAAGGCAGAACACTTCTGACATGCTCACAGAAGAGCAAAATAAACCTGCATTTTGCCAACTGCACCCRCACACAAAATGCACCATTAATCCTTCCCTCTTCACCTCTGAAGACCTGGGGTCTAATTTCTCTTCTGAAAGGGGTGTGTGAAAACAAGCTCAGTGGCTGTCAGCAGCAGGACAGCCCTGCAGCATTTAGCACAGTGCAGYTTGTTTCCAGGCTCATGAGAGGAAACCTGGACAGAGCTCTCTTTCTACTTGTCTGCTTCTAGCCCAGGGGCACAGAAAATTGGCCAGGTTCAAGGGCTAGGGAGGAGGGATAGTCTGYTTGGGAAGTCAGGGTCAGGACATGTCAGAAAAGGGCAGCCCAGAAAGGGAATTAAATAGAAGAAAATACTTCTCGAGGTAAAGCCAGTAAGGTTAAAACTCCTCCAAGGATGTTTCTCATCCTAATTTTCAACCAAGGTYATTTTRCCCAGAAAGGCTTTCAGTGTATAACMCAACCACAGGGACAAAACAGCAAGAAAACAGSGTTTGTAGAGGACTAATTACTGCTRAAAATGGCTACCATGAAAAAAAAAAAAAAACCAAAACAAAACMAAAAAMAMCAAAAAAAAMCCAGCAAAAYCATTACAGCCATAACCTGCTCCCAGGGGCAAAAATGACCAAAAACYGAAAAACCAACCACRAAAGAAAARCYSTCAACTATTCATAAGATTTCTGTTTCACTGAGAAATGAACAGGTCCCAGTGCCTATTGTACAGCACAAGTCTGTGCATTCATTCTTCTTTTAGCCAGAATTCATAGTATTTTCTCCCCATAGGTGTCATAGAAATTATTTGGTAGCACACTATTATTTTGGGGTCAATGTCCGCTGCAGACCGAATGGAGATTCTTTAACCCTTTTTTWYTTCATKTCAACAAAATTAAGGATGCAAGGARCRAGAACTTAAATATTATAAAATGTACTGGACWGTGAACTGGGGAAAACCCAGAAAGCTGTGCTTCTACTTCCTGAGCAGAAAGAGCAACACCATTGCTTGGCATCAATATTGTTATTATTTATAATTGCAAGAAKCATTAACCTCCTAGAAAAGGATGTGTAGTGTAGGCCATACTCATTATGTCATACTGGCTTCTCCTCATGACTCTACTATTGTATTTAATCCCTGTGGAAGTCATAAGATTTCCCTTGTTTTCTGCCCCCACAATACCTAGAAAATGAAGCTTAATTGAACTTGTAACTTAAAATTTAATTCAACAAGTAYTAACACAGTGAATCTCACTGGGGACCACAGGAATGGTGGGCCTGACTGTGCCCTGTCATCTTGTAGCTGTAATTTATATTTGAGTTAGTATTCTGAGGGACCATAGCTCTGCACCTGCCTTTCACATCAGCAGTGAGAATGCAGTGACAGGAGAATAAAAGACAAAAACAGAGGTTAAAGAAGGAACATGACCCAAAGAAGATCTTGATCCCTGATCCCCACTATAACAACAGAGTAAAGGAAGAGATTACAGATGTGGGGTTTTTTTGGTCACCACCATAATGACATGTGACACACATTCTCAGAAGATGTACAAAGGCATGTACACACACCTGATTTATGTCTCTGAAAGAAAAGAGAATTTGGGTTCTAAGATGCCCTTCTAGAAAGGGAAGGCTGCTAGTTAGTAGCAGGTTAAATGATGATAAAGAACTTAGTAATGACTCTTTGTTGAACAAACAAACCAACCAACCAACCAACCACACTTATCCTACTGTCAGCTTTGAATAAAAAGAGTTAACATAATAAAAGGAATTCACCAAAAAAAGTTATTGTTAKTTCAGTTGTCACCCATGAGTATTCTGTAATATTTAACACCTGGTGAAGCTTACCCTTGCCATATCAACAAGGAAGTTCTCAAACAGCTTCCAAATATGGTTACTGGCATAGATTTCTTTCATTTCCACTTCAGTGTCCACATAACAGTGGTTAACAAAATTAACATAGGCAATTTTCACCTGCAGGAACAGTAAAAACACAATCACTGTGAAATGAAAGAATAAAAAAAATTAACGTGATGTTTTCTATCTGCAAAAATACTGAAACAATACAGATGAACCTTCCAGTACTAACAAACATTYATAGCCATAATAATGCATATATTTGGCTCTGAAGATTTAAAGAGRATCAGGGCAACACATGCCTTCATGTGCTTACTGAAAAACCACAGGAAGAAAAATGAAAAGGTTTTGCAAACAACCTTACTCTAATGACAAAACCCCCACAAAACAAACCAGTAATTCTGATATTTAACTGATATTAAGGCTAGCAAACCCTGGGCTTCAGAGCCAGGGGCTGTCAAAATGCAGGACACCCCTGCACTTGCCAGTTGACTGCAGTGGGYTGAAGCCTTGTGACAGGCTTGCCAAATATAAAATAAAAAGTCTTTAGCAGAGCCGGAACTGCAGTCCCTATATTGCCACAATCCTGATGCAGCACTTGCATTTGGGATCTAAATGACAGAGAAAGGTTGTCACAGGAGCACTGGGACTGCAGCAATGGCAGCACAAGGTTTAGGAGAAGGACTGCAGTGGTGCTTCTCTCCRGCATGTGCACAGCATAAAAATGGATATTCAGTGCCCAAAATGTRTAGATTAAATATAAACATATGCAGATGCACTGAAAATTTGTCACAGTCAAAGGAGGAGAGATAGTTGTAAATGTTTAATGCAGAGAAAGAAAACTCAGATCAGGCCTTTAGGTTTCATTTGTTTGGGTTTTGTTTTTTAATTCTCATCTGTTAAAATTAATGTTAAGAGGAACTTTCAAGCAAAGCAAACATTTTTTTTTCAATAAAAGATTCAGTTGATCACAAGGGCAATTTTCTTGGCACAGAGTGAGTTTTAACTCCTGCAGGCCCCAATTCTGTTGTTTTGAGCCCCATTTTCCCACCAGACAGTATCACAGTCCCACTTTAGCATGACAGGTGCAGAACAGTGCCTTCATATGCAGTGAATAAAAATATYTGCGGGACTGCAATTGAGTTTAATAAAATGAGACTTCACCCAAATTCCCACTGACTTCAGCATGGATAGAATTTTGTCCAACATTCCCAACAAATTCAGGCATTGGCAAAACATTGGCTTGACCAACCACTGCACTGGRTCTTCACAGCTACAGCCAGAAGTTACAAGAGCATTAAACTCTGACAGTAGCTGGACAAAGCCAAGAAAGCTGACAAACAAAGCATAACGGGCGAGGAATTTTCTGTGGAATAAATACTGTCTATCCTTTCTCACTTACTCATCTTAAGAAGCACCATCCATTTCCAGCCCGTTTCCTGTGCAAATATTCAACTAGTCAGTACATTATAAACAACAAAACATTGTCTGAATTCCTAAAAATGCTCAGTCTGCTTCCTCCCTCCGTGAATCGTACCTCAGGAATGCAGTCATCGTGGGTCACTACCCTCACRATATCATCCAGTGGCAGCAGTGAATTGCACTTGATCTCTGTGTACACGTTCTTCCCCTCKGTGCAGGCTGCCAGCAGCTCCACCAGGGTGATGTGATACGCCAAGGGCCCGCTCTCRTCGGCTCGGTCTCGCTCCGAACACATCATCTGGAGCAGGACTGGGAATGATGCTCTGTCATTGTAGAATATCAACACATCTTCGCCGCCATTTATCAGCTGAGAAAGAGATCACAAGGTTTTGAGCACCCTGTGCTGCAGTMATTTTGGACCCAATGATTTTAAGCATCTTTTCCAACCTAAATGATGCTATGATTTTCCTAATTTCTTATTTAGTTCTATCTCTAAGTATAAAAAGATTCTCTAACTAAAACCCTAACAACCAAACAGAAATTACTCTCCTGTGGCTTACCAAATGAGCATAAAACAATATCCAAGGCAGACTTCTGCTTTTATCTACACAAGTACAAATCCAGAATAACTCACCAAGGAATGCACTAATGCGAGCTGAATTCGAGGTTTCATTTCTGCAGAGCTCTATCTTTACCTAAGACAGCATGCCATCCTTATTATTCCTACCATCTCRATGTTTGTGTGCAGTTAATTAATTATCCTGACCTCCTGCTGGGGGGCCAGGATGCATTATTTTTCCTGTTTTATAGATAGACACTTGAGGTGCAGTGAGATTGAATCTTCCATGCTGCCTCACACAAAAAGCCTGTGGCTCACCAGGAATTGCACCCAACTTTTTCCCACATTTGCTCTGCATTGGAAACAAAGGACGATCTTTCCCACCCAAATTTGGCCAATGGGTCATAACTTTATCAATGCATGTCAGCATTTTCATTTAACAGAAAACTGTTGTATGTGATACATATTTGACTCTGCTACAAGTGCACTGCTCATCTCAAGAGGATCCAGAGCAGTGCTGGATGCCGGCAGCCCCATCTCAGCACATCTCACTGGAGAGTTTTGCTCTAATCCTGTTTGGAATCCTCTCTCCATCATTGTCCTTTTAAGCACAATCCACTCTCAATGTGGGTGAAAAAAAACTCCCACAAACCCCCTCCCAGTACAGAACATGCCCTGGCAACTCAAAAGTCTCACGTATTTTGTGAATTAGGCACTTGACCTATTCCAGTCCATACATGACATGAAATCCCAGCTTACTCAATTCAAGGGTAGGCATAGAGGTTGCTGGAGCTGCTGAGAAATGGGAAAGCAGCCAGAACAGGAATTAAAATTAGTCTCCTGGAATGAAAAGTCAAGAAACATTTCATTACACTTTCCAGGGTTTCAACACTTCAAATTTTGAATTCACAGCTTTTCTGTTTGTRCTTTCCCCATTTCTTGCTTATTTTYACTTTGACATTTGGCTGGAGTGAATTGTGAATCTAGTTGTTCCTGCAATTCTTATTTCTCAGTTATCTTGGGGTTTCTAAAGTATTTCTGTACCCATGACTTTTCAGACATTTTCTGGACAATCCACAGCATAGAAAAAAAAAATTAAAGGGACAAGAGCTTGGTACAAAACAACCCAGCAGCATTTTCTTCCATTATAGTATATTTTCTGTGAGTTAAGAACTCTATGGAAATATAATAAAGGCTGGTCAGTATTGGAGTAGCTGTTGATGCTCTGTGAAATATTACTCCAGAATACTACAGGTGATAGAAAACTCTGCTGACACATTGATCTGGCTCAAAGTAAATTCTGCTTTCCCTTCTGTAACTGTGTTTGCACTGATAGGTACGGTTCATCTTCAAATGATGCTTGTAATGAGAAAAAGTGCCCYAAGGAGCCCTTCAGGTTGGTAAACATCATTGCAGACATGGAGACCAAGGAGATGAGAACAAGGGAATCAGCCAGACTGGGGATGTTCAATGTATTTTATGACAGTATTCTCTTGCCATGGTGCTCCTTCATCTGTGTAGAACATGTAAATATAGRATTTATTCCTCATTCCCAGCAAACAGGAATAAGCTACAATATACTTCCTGTGGGTGGAAGGAAACACAGGAGGAGTTGAGGCCAGCTGTACAGTCAGGTTCTATCTTGTCTTGTGGTAAATTGTTTATGTGCCCCATCTGGAGGCACAGGAAGAGCTACACCACTTGTTTAAGGTCACAAAGCATATCGCAGATTTTTGCTGAGAAACTGTCCTGACTCTGTGGCAAATTGCAGCCATTTGTTCCCTTTAGAGTGGATTGCCATTCCAATGCCATTCAAGTTTCACAATTAGGATCCTTTTCTAAGAAATCATAACTACTTACCTGTAATTTCCTACTTTTTGAAAAACAGATCATTATCTTACCCTCTTTCATCAAAATAGGGTTGCTCCCTCCCCCCAGCAAAATCCKGCAGGACCTAATGTGAATGTCATAACCAAGTTCAATTTTGCTTTCATCATGGAGTCACRTTGAAAATGCAATATGACAATTTATCTTTGTGCTGTTATAGGTCARTAACAAAATATATTTAAATAGAGAAAAATCCAAAAATTTTGTTTGATGATAAAAAAAACACTACACAAGCCTTTGGTGGAAGCAGAAAAATCWCAAACCACAAAGGCACAAGAAATGTTTGAATTACATAAATCAAAGGCTTGTAATKGATATTGCATGTTAAAATACTTCAGTCAAATTGAAAAGGTTGAAGTGAATTTCATTAAAGGTTACCCATGTAGGCAGGAGCTTTATTTTCTTAATTAGAAGTTTTTCCTCTTGTTGCTGTGGAATAAAATTTCAGTGGGGTTTAGTTTAGTTCATACCACAAAAAGCTAGAGCTTATCTGCGATTTCTTTGTGAAGACATCTCTTAAAAAAACCAAACCAAACCAAGCCAAAAAAAAAAGCACTTTGTAAAGTAAATAAAAATGCTCCTTATACTCTGATCTTACCATGACTTCCCACCATATTCAACTTTACCCACTTATTAATCTCAAGGAACTGTTAACATAATTACTGTTAAATGCACGAGTGTCTGCAAGTTGAAGACTTCGTTTATCCTGCTCACTATATATCAAATCCTAATTGCAGAGAAGTCAATTAGGTGTTTTTCTGGGAAATTTATTGGCATTAAGATTTGTTCACAAACCACTTGGTGGAATTTACTGGGTCAGACTCTGAATCTAGCTAGTTAAAGCTAGAGTAGCTCTAGTGATCCTCACAGAAATGCTTTGAAATAAAACAAAACCAACGAAAAAGGCAGAAACTGGCATGTAGAATTGCTACATGCTAAAAAAATGGTCTGCAACACTATTTAGACAAATCCACGGAGCTAAGAGCCTCTTATATGGCAAATCCATGCCACAAGAGTGGGTAAAAGTGATCCTAAATTACATTACAGGAAAATGAAGGTTTATGTAACTCTGAGATTTCCATGCTACATCATCTACAAATAGACATCTCTGTATCACCATGCTAACACTCATGTTTTCTTTCTAGTAGTTATACAGATGGCCTTACAAAATTAGATCAAACTCCCAAAAAYGTCTGCTAAAATATTCATTATTTGTGATGCTGCTTAAAATTCTAAAGCGAGGGTGCCATTATATCTCATTGGTATCAAGAGCAGGAAAAACAGCCTCAAAATACTCGAGTGATTAGCATGTGAAGCCTTTGCTTACCTCTGTCATTACCATGTCCTGGCATTTTTTCACGTATTTGCCATCTGCTTTCACGATGGTCTGCAGGAATCGCAGGTACTCCACGTGCCGGCCGTGGGTCTCGATGCAGTGCACRAAGTGCTGCACCACCCTCTCGCTGATCTCGTTGCACAGGAGGTAATTATTCATGAAGATGTGCCTCATGGTCTCAGCTTCCAGGAGCTAAACAGATCAGAAACAGCCTTGTGAGCGGAGCAGATCCACTTTGAGGTTGTTGAGGGAGAACTCCCGAGTAGAGGAAGGCTCATTGGTAACAGGAAACTGGAGAAATCYAATGGGCACCAGCCATTTTCAATGACTTTGGGGTCCAGCTTCCCAGTCATCATGGGATTTCTCCACGCTTCCCTGTGAGAACAAGCAGTCCTAAAGTGCACATAAACCAAACCTGTGTCCATGTGGAAGGTGAAGACAGACACACACTATATGCTGCTACAGCACACTACAAAGTCTTTGGAATATAAGACACCTGAGACCACACTGGTCCCACTCACCAACAAACTGCAATGAGGCCACCAAATGAGAGGAGGAGCTGCTGTGGCTCTCTCTGTGGCTGACAGAGGAGGCATTTCCAGCACGCAAATCCCTGCACATACAGCCTGATCACTCTCATAGAGAATATCTTTCCATATTTACTCCAGAGGGTACCTGGGGCTGTATATCCGGGAGTAGCATAGGAACAAGACGAATATATATGGAGCATGAAGGGATGCTGCTGAGGACACAGACTCAGACTTTGTGCATTCTTGGAGCTTTTGCTCTAGGTTGATTCCTTAGACCAAAGGCTTATGAGGCTCAGCTGTGCTCCTAGAGCATATGTGTCTGTTTAGTGTCCCCTGAAAGGAATCCACACCAAGTTTGCTCCACAGTGTGCACAAAAGCACAATAACCAGGATGATCAGGAAATCAGCTTCAAAAGAACAGRAAYAYRAGTGCAAGCAAGCTCCATCCTTGGCACYCRAATTAAGTSTGTGCTGGATATGATGGAATCTGGRCAYTGGKTCYCTCTGTGGTCAGCTCAGAGCTGTTCACTTATGTCCCAAAGAACATCAGTAAAAACAGACAACAGAATAACTGTAGGCCAAAGTCTACAATCCTCACACTCACAACTCCTTCTAATGAAAGCATGTTTTGCCCAGTAAATCCACTGAGCAAGTGTCATTTTATCAGAGAATATGTAAACACATACAAATATATACAGAGGGAMTGTGATAAAAACGTGTATTGTAAAGACAATGAATTAACAGAAGGTCGAACTTTAGATTAGCTGAATCAAATGGGAGCATTGTCWACAAAAATGTATGGGTCTGATTCTGTTGTCACAGAAGCTTCATGACAGCAGTCACAGCACCTTCTACCTTGACTTTACAATCCACCAGTGAGTGAGTCAGGATGAATAACGTCAGAATCATGTTCAATACAATGATGTGACACATATTCATAGATACTTCCAGAAAACCCCAAAGGTAATATTGTTTTCCGCTTTTAAAATGGCAGCATTAAAGCAAATGACATAAAGAGCAACACTAAGGGAKMGAAGAGAGGAKAGRGGAGGGGAGGCATAATTTAGTGAAAATATTTATTTAGCACTGGGATTTTTCAGCAAGCCCAAATTTAATTCCAATTATCATATTCTACTTCAAATGAAATACTTACCCCTGGAGTTAAGAACAAGTTGAGATTTTTGTGGAGGAGAACTTGATTCTGAGGATTTCCTCGACAGAAATTCTGAAGGAAGGTGTGGGCTAGATTCATAACTTCATTCATCTTTTCATCACTCTGCAGGAAGAAAGGACAAACAAAATCAGCTGGTTGTACCTAAACATACTTGTTAAAACCACACAACATCAATTCAGCCAGGAACAAACCAATTCTCCTGAGCCTTTATAGGGCAGGAATTCCCCCTCTGGCAAAAGCAACTGATGYAGTTTCCTTCAGAGTCCATCAGCAGCTGTACCTTACTCTGAATCAACCTGACAATAGGGGATCACAAGTAGGAGCATGAATTTAAAGTAAGACTTCCTCCTTTGTGATTAAAATTTCCTAGTTAAAAAAAAATTGCTAAGGCGCTTGATTTAAAATAAATAAATAAATAAATAAATAAATAAACCCCAACTCTCTGCATTAATTTTAAGCTTTGGCAAAGGTTTGACTTCTATATAGTTGCATAAAGAAACAGATGTATGTGTGCATGTGTTYATACACACACTCCCACAGAAATATATGTCTGGTTTCATCCCCATTTTATATTCCTCTCATGTAGTATTCTAAGTAYGATTTGATGAACCACCTGTATGGACAAGCATTATTTTTCTGACAATAGCTGAACCCAGTGTCTAAAACATAACACTCAGGAAAATACAGCCCAGAAGAGGTTTTACCTCCTCTCRGTGATTCCTAGAAGATCCAGAAAGATGTGTTCTTTTAAAGCCTATCTAGTTCACTCATTTGTATGCTCAGTTCCACCGAATCAGTACAAAATCATGTTATCTTGTGAAAAAATGGCAAGTGGTTAGAGACATCCACCACAGAAACAAAGAGGTTGTTTCTCATTTGATCCATGAAGGCTTTGGGTCCATCTGATTTGTCTGCAACAGCTCCCACAGCGGTACCCAGTGGGATTTAGAYTTCCTGCCAGGAACTCCACTAAACCAATACTTCCTACCAAAAAGTGACAGCCGGCCTAAGGTCTGCCTGGTTCAGRAATGGACACAGGAATGACAGTGCTGTGATGTTCAGGTATCCAAGGCAGCAAAAGTCAAATTTTAAATAAAACCATGCATGCAGCTGTGTTTAAACTGAGTCCAAACTTGCTATTATTAAGGTAGAAGATGACATCATGATTTCAGGTTTTTACCATAGCTGACAATTCAGCTGTTAAAAAAATATTCCCATTGATTCTTGGGCCCCCTAAAGCCTGTCCCTTCCCTGAGTTCATGTTCTCTGCCACTGAAGTTATGAAAATAACCTTTTCATAGGGAATCTGCAGAAGGTCCAAGACGACCAAGTGGGCACCCATATTTTTCAGTAAACGTTGCTGCTGATTCCGACATTTTTTATTCTGAATGCAAAGTCTGCTGAGTCGAATCAAAATCTGTGAATAATAAAAAAAACCCAAGTAAATAAGCATCCAAGCAAGAAAAGAACCAGTCCTGTCCCACAAACCCAAAGAAAGATACTTTATTTCAAAATAATTACTAAATCTTCTAATCAAATARGTATGTCAAGCAAGTTTCTTGGCAGATATACCAACCTCTTTAACAATATTGTAGTTATTGCTTTTRATGCTGTCTATCTGGGGTTTTTTGGTCCCATCCTGTATTGGGCTCAAAATGTTTGACTCCTGTAATAAAGAACACATGACAAGTGGAGATTTATTGCAATTTATTGAATTAATTGTGTTTAATAGCAGTAAGTGACAAAGTATCCCAGCAGCTCATAAGGAATTGACATAACACAGGTAATAAAGAATGACTCATTTATTCTTTATCCACCAGTGAAAAGATTTGCATTCAAGTCCTACATTTGTTTCAAATTTCCAAGGTAATTTGAGGCAATTACTCTATGCCTTCATGTTCCTGATCATTTTGAAAGAGAGCATGTCCCTAAATCGCAGAACAGACACACCAAGGAATTTAAACACTGCAAGAAGATGGACCAAAAGTGTATTTCAGTAGTGACCACATGTTCCAAGAATCTGTAATACAGCTGGAAGGATTACAAAATCTGTATGTGAACACTAAGGAGTCTGGAGAAAGAGCTTAAGACAACCTCTGCAGTTAAGCAGGGTGGAGTCCTTAACAGCACAGGAACAAGTAGCACGCGGAAATTAGAGATGTTCCTCCCCAAAGGGGATGCTTCTGCTCCTGTCTCTGGATGATGCAGGAAAAGATTTAAAAAAACAAATAGAAACCATATGTTAAACTGCAGCATCAAGTCATGACGCCGTATGCTCTGGGCCTTGGCTCCTGGAAAGCCCCAGCTGGGTATGATAAATAAGAGAAATCAAGTCAGCAAGYAACTGCCAACACCCACACACCTTTCCATGCATGCATCTCAATCAAAACAGGGGAGAATGT